CCACAAAAGCTTATGCTCTAATAAATTTGTTAGTCTCTAAGGTGCCACAAGTCCTCCTGTTCTTCTTTTTATAAATACCACCCTATACCGGAAACCTACTGACCGCTACACTTACCTACATGCCTCCAGCTTCCATCCAGGATACACCACACGATCCATTGTCTACAGCCAAGCTCTGAGGGCTAGTCTTCACTTACCGGCTGGTCCGGAGGCACGCAATCGATGTTCTGGGATCGGTTTATCGCGTCTGGTTAAGACGCGATAAATCGATCCCGGATCGATCCCGGAAGTGCCCACAATCGGCGCCGGTACTCCAGCTCTCCGAGAGGAGTACACGGCGTCGACAGGGGGAGACTTCCGGCCGCGTCTGGACCCCGGTAAGTCCGGACTAAGGTACTTCGAATTCAGCTACGTTATTAACGTAGCTGAATTTGCGTACCTTAGTCCGAAGTCCGGACTAAGTGGGGACCAGCCCTTAGACTGTATAGGTGCAATCCAGTGACTCCCACTGACTTCAGCAAGCATTGGATTGGGGCCAAAGTCCTTTGATCTGACTGTGAAAGCACCCTGAACAGCTAGGAATGCTGTCTCTGAATTAATACCCTTAACTAGAGTGAAAATTTTCAAGCCTGGGTGCTGAAAATTAGGCTCCTAAATCCATATTTAGGCAGCTATGTAAAATATTCCAAATTCATACTGGTATATAGTAGGGGGATACAAATCGCTTGACTCCCATGGACTGCACCTGCTTACACAGGTGAATTTGAATAAGGCGATGCCTTATTTTTGAGTTATGAGTTTGGAGCCAAAGGTACTAGATGGACTGGAAAGAGATGCCCTACATTTGAATGATCAGAGTTAATATGAGTAGCTACTATAATGCTTTTCAGTAATAAAGGAAGTTAGATTTGCCTCTTCCAAAAGGAGACAACTAAGATCACTTGCCACCTTGTCCCTCTTTAGTTTAGCTCTAGAATGTCATCAAAGCATTTGAGGTTAGAATATGTTATAAGATTCATTCCCCCCACAACACTTGGAGAACAATTTTCTTTTCTTTGGCAGAAGACAGATAGCTCTTGTTTGTGGCCTCTGCAAAATGTGTTCACCTTGGATTACCCCAACGTGTAGAAGCCTGCTTTATCAATTTGTAAGAATGTAGTGCTGAGTGACCCAACCTGTTTACAAATTTTTTTTTCCCCAGCCAGGAAAGTTGCAACCCAAGTGTTCTTTTTCTAGATAGCAATATTTACAGAGCTTAAGTTCCTTTGTTTTGAAAAACACTTTATTAAAATGTTAATCTGATAGCCATAGAAAGTACTATGTCACTTAGATTTAACGGAATATTTGTCGAGTATGCTGTGCTGCTACTTCAGTTTGTTTGATAGCTTCTGTATATTCTGGGTATGAATAAGTGTTTAAGTTGGTTACAGGAAAAGATTAAAGGACTAACACAAGCTGGTTTGTACAACTGGTCAGTATGAGCTAAGTAATGTTGGTGGCTAACCTGTGGTAAATATATTGATTACCATGTACCCAATAAATGTATACTGCACTACCTGTCTGTCATAGGGTACTGAAAAACCAAAAAAATGTTTGTCTGTCTGCCTCAAGATCTTTTTTGTTGTGGATGGGGAATTATGTCTACCCTACTGGAGGGAGCATAGCACCCCCAAAATATACAGAGATTTGAGGGTAGGTTGCTGGGTAAAAGTCACCAGGGCACAGGCACCAAGAGACAGCAAAAAAGCAGAGAGATCCTGGCCTGTTGTGGGAGGGAAGTTCTAGGGGGAGAATTATTCTGGCCCAAATCTCATTGCTCTGGCCCTTCTGAGGATCAAAGATGCCTGTAGGTCTTCTCCCTCTTTCTGTTAAGCCAGGGGAGGTGGGGTGCTCAGAGGAATGTGTGACCCTCGGGGTGGTACCATATAAAAACAAATTATCAGTGTTGCATTGTTCAAATTAAAATTGAAGCAAAACGCAATGGTTTCGTTGTGTGTTGGCTCATACACACATGGAAACTTGGGGGCTATACAATGGAACTAAAAAACATCCAGCAAATAGCTGCAAACTGAAGTTGCTGCATTTTCCACAGTTCTACTCAAAATGCATCTATTTGCATAAAGATCGTCTTTGATGCATGCACTCTTCTACTGTCTTGTTCATCACTTCATACCATATAGGAATTACAGTAAATTTTGGAGTTACAGTGAGTGGGCCTCCTGGCACAAGGAGCAACCACTTGGGATATTGGGTTCCAGAGGCACACCCACTCCTGCCCTCCCCAGCCTGGCAGTTGCCCCCACAGGCTTTCCTGAGTCACAGCTGCCAAGCCTCCATCTGCCCTAGAAGCCCACCACAACTACCTCACAGCAGCAGGGCTGAGAGAAACCACCCTGATGTGTCCATAGCAATTATTTAGCATAAAACTTACAATATGTTTTTTAAAAAGCCACAAGATGCGTGCAGTACGGATGAATTAACTCGTGATCTTATATTTGAAACCTGTGTCATACATTCCCTCTACCTGCTTCCTTTCCTCCATTTTATCTTTCCTCATTCACCATGTCTCTAGTTTGTAAGCCCTTTTTAATTGTCAATTAGTGCACTGTTTAGGTTCACAGTGAATAAAAATAGGATCAAAAGAAAATACCAACAATTTCAAAATGCAAAATTTTATTTTTCAAGCATTTTAATTGTGCTTGTGTATTAAACAAGCTCATTGTTCCTTGTATGTTTGCATAAACTTAAAGAAATGCTATAATAAATGTTGCATTTTACTAGTAGAAACAAATAGGAAGCCTTTTCATATCTTAATACATCATAGTAAAAAATCTGCATCTGCTCTGTAATTTAAAAAAATATATTTATACCAATGAGACACTAAGAATTGCCTTAGTACTTTCAATGCACTGTAACTTCACATTATTGGCCAGGATTCTCTCTTCACTTGCTTAGATTGCGATGCTCTTTGGGACAGAAATCTTGGGCTCATTGAAGCCAATAGCAAAACTCCTATTTACTTCAATGTGGCCTAAATCCTTACTCTGTTTGATAAGTGCCATGGTCACCTGTGGTATTATATACAAATGTTAAATAATAGATATTTATGGGTATTAACTTTTAATTTTCTATTTAAAAAGTAACAATAAGTTATTTATCGTTTAACCTCAGGAAAAAAACTGCAAGCTGTAGGATATATACCCCCAGCTAATGCATTAGCTAAAGCTGCCGGTGTTGTGGGATTTGCCTCATTTTCCTCCTTACTACATTTAATAAATTCAGAAATGTTCATTACAAATACCCATGGAAACAAAAATCAAATTATTCCTCATCCATAAAAACAGGTGAAGGGCCATCAGTGATAAGCGGCACTGCTTTAGATTAAACAGTGGACTTTCCAGAAGCAAAACTGGCTTATAAGCAGCAATGCTGCTGTGTTAGATGTTTCATGACTTTTCAACCTTCATGAGAAACGGGGGGATGGAGGGCAAGATACTAAATATCCTTCAACCTCTCCTATTACCTGCAAGGTAGATTTTGAAGCCTCCCAATAAACTGGAAATTAATTCCAATTAAATCCACTACAGGAAACATCTTCCAGACCACAAACCCCAAATAAACACAAGTCACTATTAAATACACATCCTTACTTAAGTGGTACCAACTGCACAAGCCTTTGTTTAAAAATTTAAATACTTTTCTCTTATCTGTAATGTAAGGACTCACTGTATACACTGAGATCTTTCAATGCAATGAATCTTTATCTTATCACTAAAATTACTCACAGTCCTTTATCATATAAAGCAATTTTTAGAATGAAATGATCTTCCAATAGATATTAAGCATCCTCCTTGTCTTCTAAGCTTGTATATTATTTTAATAAAAAGAACAGGAGTACTTATGGCACCTTAGAGACTAACAAATTTATTAGAGCATAAGCTTCCCAAGAAGTGGGCTGTAGCCCAGGAAAGCTTATG